ATACTTAAAGATAATCGCACAAATAGTAAATATTAAAATTGCTTTCACAAAATTTTAGTCAGGTATTAATATGATTTTAATATATCACATTATTAGAGCCTACCTGTTTAATGGAATTCTGCTTAATAGCCTTATAAATATTAATAAATTTGCCTGTATTGTTTGAATAGTATATTTATTTATTTATTTATTTTTCCGTTTCTGTAAGTAGAAATATGTTTCAGATTCTTCAATTAAAATTTTCAAAATTTGTAATTTACATTTTCGATATTATGTTTGAAATGTTTACTGATTATCTTTTAATAATCTACAAATGATGTTTCATTTATGAATTGTTTAACTACTTAACTTTGGCGAAACAAGTTTGGTCCTCAAACCCTAAAGTTCCAAAGATCCATGAATAAATGATATTTTCTTGATTATAATTCGCAAATGACTCTCTGACTTTGTATCTTGACTCTTTTTTTTCTATTATACATTCAACTGGAAATCGGATACATCAGGATTTGGCAGAATTTTTCGTGTGTAAGGAATTTGAAAGTCCTCCTTTTATATGGAACTTCACATTCGTAACTTGGAAAATTAATCATTGGCTTGTAAGTACCGACAAATAATATTTAATTTACGAATATACATTTGCGGAGTTAGGACTTAGGGAGTCTATTAGCAAAAACAAGTTGGAAACCCTTGTTTTAGACTTTTATCTGAGTTAGTTTCTTTGCATTCTGTTCAAGTTATGATGGGGTGATAAGTCGTCTGTAGTTCCAGTATTTAATATTCAGAGTAGTTTGGATTCACAAATGTACACAGTACTGGTATAACAATAAAATATTTTTAGCTGAAAGGGCGTTAGCCCAGAAGGGCTATTAGTCTCGAAAATTTGCACTGAATAACTTAAATGCGAAGTACCACTTTTCAAATTCTTGCCACCAAATATTATCGCCCTGTATTATATTTGAAGAAACTAAATAATGAAGAATCTGCATGAATGTATGTATGTTTCTCGCACTGTGAAAAAAATTTACCTAGAGCCATTAAATTAGGAATAACGTAGTCCTCCACCCGAACATGTCCATTTGGAAGCCTGAAATTGCAATTTCGAACTTGTTTTATTGTATATTTCATATTTTTCAAACCTTTAACGAATTTTTCATTAAAAAATTCATAAATTTTAAAGCGAGTAGTGGCAACACATAAGGAAATAAAACATTTTTATCTGCGAGACAATCTATTGGAAATTGTAAAGATATGCAGTTTTTCTATATTTTTAGCCTTAAGTGGCATTAGCCTAAATGCTTTAGAAACGTAAATGTGTTGGTAAATGAAAAAAAAAAAAAAAAAAATAAATAAAAAAAAAAAAAAAAATCTGAAAGTCTTAAATTTTAAATTACATCTAGGGGCGTTTATTTAACGTTTTTGTGTGTTACCTTTATTTATTAAATATTGTGTTCTACGTACTCAAACCATACAATTCAGTTCAACAGCAATTTCGTAAAATAATTTTAAAATGACCATATCTTTAGGGCCGTTACACAGACTCGCGCGCTGGACATATTTTTTTTCGTAGTATTGCCATTGCTCGTTTTGAAATCGTTTAGTTTTTTAATTAAAAAATCGTTGAAGTGTTACAAAATATGAAAACGATAATAAAACAAATTTCTAATTCAAATTAGGGCTTCCACAGGCCCATATTCTATGGAAGATTACGTTATCCAAATTTTGATGGCTCTAGGTGCCTTTGTTTTATCACAATGCGAGAAACATACATTCATTCGAGCAGATTCTTCATTATTTAATTTTCTTAAATATAATACAGGACAATAATATTTGGTGGCAACAATTTGAAAAGTGATTCGCCGTTTATAGTTTTCAACGCAAAATTCCAAAATGAAATTAATAGTCCTTCAGGGCATATTACCTCTTTTTGAAGGAAAGAAAAAAAAAAAAAAAAAAAAAAAAAAAAAAAAACGTTCATTTTGGGGTAATATAAAATCTGAAGGCCTTCGTTTTTTTGTTTTTTTTTTCAATTAATTTCTTGAAAGAATTTTTTTAAGTAAAACGTGTTTATAAATATGTTTTATATGTATAAGTATAATGTTTTATAAAGCTCCGGAACAGTTCATTTATTGGTATTTTAGTTTTAAACAATAATCTGTGATATTTAATTATTAAAAAAAATATTAGGCTCCAATGAACCCTATCGCGAGGATCACCTTCCTGAGACTAAAACTGTAGATATTCTAAATGTGTAAATGGACATCGGTATTGAACATTTACCCTCCAAGGCAATTTTCAACACAGGAGACGAAAATCGTCTGGCTTACTCAGAACACCAAAATCGCTTATTATTAAAAATATATTTTAAAGTATAATATTTCGAACTAAAAATTATGTTATAAATCTATTTAACATTTATAATTTAGTACAGAAGGAAAAGTAATTTAAATTATTCGAAAACTTGCATAACGGTAATAAATAATCGGTAAAATAAAAATTCGAGGAAATAAAAAAAAAAACATATTAATCATAATTCGCACACTTAAAACGTAAACGAAGCAAGACAACTTTATTATTCGATAAAAAATGCAAAGAGGAGCATTTTTATTTCATTGAACTTAAATCAAAGTGGCGATGCGACGTTTTGTCTACGCGACTTCTGGTGTCTTGCACTTTTTTGCGTGTAACATTTTCTCCCGCTGCGGTGTTTCGCATTCAAACCAATTTTTTAGCGTTATTTGAAACCAATAGCTTATTGCTAAGCTTTTCTTTGTCTCCCTACTACCTGTTAATTAATAACTTGTCTTTGATCGAAAGTACAGTCATTGAGCTTAATGGTGTTCTGTTTATCTGCATACAACTTAGAGTGTATATGGTTATGTTGAATTTTTTAAGAAAGGCAAAGAATAAGAAAGAGAGCAATAACAAAAATATGATTTTAAAATTTTCTTGAATATTTACTTTGTGTAGGTTGTTTGTTGATTATTTCATAGAATGAAATCCAGTTACTTAGTTTCACATAATGTGATATTAGTGCAGTGAATTTTATTTAATTTTTGGGAAATGCTGTTACTTTCACATTTTTGACGTCTTACTTTGTATCCTTTTTTATTCTGGTTTCTAAATTATGATATCTGTTACTTTTCATTCTTTATGATTATAAAACCTCGGGGGTACATTTAACCGTCTAATTTTATAAACGAAGTATGGAAAATATGTATAGACTTTGTATATTTAAACATAAAGTATTCATAATTATTAAACTGAAAAATCATTATTTAGTGATTTTTAATAATATGCAGTAAATGACCCCCTATTAAGCGCAATAGAACCGAATAAAGACGAGTTAACAATCACCGGGTAAAGAATCTCTTTAAGGAAATTAGAGATTCTTCCTTAGATTCTTTGGTAGGAAGAAGCTTCAAGCAGCTAACAGTGGCTTATGATGGAAAATCCAAGAATAAATTCTTTCGGGTATTACGTCACTTTCTGATCATTGTATCGAAAAATCCCATTTAATGTTTGACCTCTGTGTGACTAAAAATAATGCCAAAATTAATTAATTAAATAAATAAATAAATTGCTCGCTTGAAGTATTATTATTATTATTATTTTTAAATACGAAAAACGGTTTTCCGAATTCATCTTAATTCTACTGAGTTCGGATAATGAAGACCGTGCTCTATCCATTTTATTGCGAGATTTTAAGTATTAAATTTAATAACACAATTTATTACCAAATTCTTAAAACTATTAACAGAGGAATACAAAAGGTACCTTTTAGTTTAATAATTCCCTGTCCTTACTGTTTAGATACACTAAGCTTATTTTTCACTCATCTCTTCTATTTTACTCTTTAAGTAATAGCGATATATATCCTCAGATCAGCCTACATTTTTCAGCTGTTCTGCCTATTTTTCCCACACGCTTTAAATAAATAAACCTTGGAATTTTACCTTAAATAGCATTAAGAAGAAAGATTGCATACAACAGAATTTGAAAACCAGAATGCAGAGCGATATGATTACTCTGTCAAACTGCATTTTCTAAACTAAAAATTAAATGAAAAATCCCCTATGCTGATATAATTTTTTTTTAATTCGAAATATCAGTTTCGGACTATGAATGAGTAATTAATACATATTCACTACGTAATACACAGATAATCAATCAATATACATTCACTAAATAATACACAGGTAATACGAGTCTGTAATAAAAGACAGAAAACAAGAAAATATATTCCAAAATCAAGAAAATAATACAATCAGCGCATGTTAAAAGTAGTTGCTTTTGAATGTATATAATTTATGAAATGCTTTGAATTGCAGTTTAGAAAAATGAAAACCAAAATTGCAAAATTAAAATCCTAATTATATACGCAATAGTATTTCACCGTTACTTTTCTCATGAGCTGTTTCATAATATAAAAATCATTTTTGTTCGAATATTACTGCACAGGCAAGAAAAGAAGAATACAGTAAATATAGTAAACACATCTTAAGGTTGTAGTATAATCTCATACTTTTTTGGTGTAAGCAGTAGATGAACTATCAGTAAATGAACCATATAAAGTAAGTTTAGTAGTAATCAATAATTAACCTATCAATTTATTATAAAAGCCAAACTATACAGAAATTTGTTCTACACCGAAAAGAGCATAGCAATTAGTGTATATTAATCATAGATTCTATTCAAATTAAACAAATTTTGGCAACTAATTAAACTCAGATTTGATAAAATTAAAAGTGCACCTAATTAAAATATAACTTAATTAACTGAGCGACAGCATTTCATTGTTACAATGAACTGCTCCTTAAAGATTGCTTATAATCTCAAATTTTCTAAGATGCAAAATAAAAGATATTAAATCTATAAGAAGTATTAAATCTAAATTTTACTTCCATGTGAAGCTTCAATAATTTTATGCTTTTCTCGACGCCTCATACGTCCTTTTGCAAAACATGAAAATAAAAAAGAACCTTAAAGCAAATCAGACTTACCAACACATTCATGAGCTTCATGTGCGGTCGCTCTACCCCATGGTCTGTCAAAATGGAAAGGTTTGCATTTCTCGCAATCTCTTCCAGCCGTATTGTGCTTGCAGTCGCACACCAACAGTCCTTCTCTGTTATGGATGCATCTAGAAGCATGTCCATTACACTTGCAACGTCCACCAACGGCAAAGTCCGACACGGCATAAAAGTAGGTGTCTCTTTGGCTCAGTGAATCATTCTCATTCCCTAACTCCGCCATCCAACCAACCAACCTGTTGAAGACCACTTTAATGTCCGTGGCAGTCACCCAATCTTGAAGCACTGGGCTGTTGTCGAAGTCATAGGCTGATGGCCTGCCTTCCAGTGTACTAAATGCTATTCTGGCTCCAGTTATAGGTTCTACATTCGACTGAGCGTCAGTACACAAGGCTTCCTGTTCATTCGCTTTGGTGATAACGGCTCGGTTTTGCCGGCCATACATTTTCCGACACTGGCTGGAATAGAATTGGAAAGGATGCCAAGTCTTACCATAGTCCATGCTCTTGTAGAGTGCAAGAGAATCCGGTTTCTGGTTGCAAAACTGGAGACTAATATAGGTGAGCTCATATTTTTTACCAAGAGACAACGTGAGGGACACATTGTGCAAAGACTGTGAAAATGGCTCGGACATCCAACAGGTGACGTTGTTGGGGTTGTTCAGATCGGTGAGATATGCAGTCGGGTGGGCGCGCTTCGGATTACCAGCGTCGCAGATTTGGCAGTTGCGAACTATCTCTCCCTTGTCATCGGTGGCCGTCGTGCAGTACCTGTTTGCTGGAGTACCGCATTCGCTGGAAGCCTTGACTTCCTTGCCGAAAGCAGCATTGACGAAATCTGGTATGCAGCGTCTAGGTTCGTGCATTTCTTCATAGCAAGGATCCGGTGGGGGATTCTGCTGAGCCGCGAACATTCCATGGTAACTTATAGTATTTGTCAAGTGGAGACCGAAAACAAAAAAGCAGAAAATGCAAAGCATGACAGCCATTTGTTGGTGTGTTAATAGCACTGTCAAAATCTAAAAATGCAGTTCTGACTTTTAAAGAAGTTACTGACTAGTCGAAGCACAAACAGGAATGTTCATTGAAAATTGTTACCGGTTGTCAGTTTTCAGTGATTGGATACATACTGTTTAATTCAAGGTGTATTCTCTTACTTCTGTTTGAATGTATTTCCTGAGGGTCTATTCACATTAAATATAAAGTCAGAGATCAAAATATTTTTCGCTTTTGCAGGACGTAGCAATAAGTTTATCCTTAACTAAAGGATTTCTTTTAAAATATTGTTTTGAACAGTTAATGTTCACGATGAAACTCTTTTATTTAATGAAACAGCAATCAAATCTCACGAATTTTTAGACTCACATTATAAACAAAAGTATTGTGCTTCATATTAAAACGCATTTTGAAATGAGAAAGAAGTTTCCAGAAACTGGACGTTTCCGAGTAGGAAACGAAAAGAATATAGTATCTCCATTAGCAAGCCAATATTACTGAAATGACTAAAAACAGATAGATCTTGATTGATTATTTTCACTAGTGTACCGCAGGCAGGATGAGTGAGAAAATAAAATATCAACACAAAATTGTCAAGGCTAATCCACAAGTTGTTAAATTTGTGTTTAAAAGAAATCCGAATAAAAGGAAATTATAAAAAAATTAATTTACTCCGGGAAGGATTTTAGATAATATCGTCGACTTCAAGATAACAGTTTATCAACTTTTGGACAGTAAACAAAAATTCGGGTATTATGTTCGAATGCGTCGTCAGGTGGGAGCGTTCGAAGTGATTCAACGAGGGTTCGGTGTTGGAGAGCACTGCCGGCCTGCACTCCAGTGTGGACCACTTTATGAAGTGGGAGCGGGGGTGTAGCTCCCTTTTCGCACCGTCGCGCTGAGCAGCGACCGGTGCGCCACCCCCCACCCCCAAATCGATCTCGGACCCCCGCGCATTATTTGATTCTCCTCTTTTTTTTTTTTTTCCCCTCCTCCCCTATTATTATTGTCGTCGTTCCACCTTTCTTAGCACTAAGTCATGCACAATTATGCCTAATAATGCATAAATACAGCCAGAACAGCAATTTTCAAAAGAAAAACATATGTTAATCGCATGCGCAGTGGCATTCACGTGACATAGATAAAATCTTATAATTTATGCATTCTTCTAAAATTATTAAAAAAATATCCACAAAGTATAAAAAGTACAATAGTACATTACATTAAAAATTAGTTTTAAAAAGTACAATTGCTTTAGAGAAGAAATTAATTTTCAATCAAGCCTCTTAAAGAAATTTGGGAGAATCTTTAAGTAAATTGATTACAATGATTTAGAGGCTAGTTAGGACATTACGTAATATTGATGCATGAGGAGGTGCTACTCACTTGTAGATTATTTATCTCGAAATAAACTTTTTGAACTTTTATCCAGTGAATCACGCTGTTGTTTTATCTTGCACTTTGTCACATTTATAGACAAGGCAACTTATTTAAATATGACCACTTTCACAACTGTAACTATTATTCCCCGAAGTGGACACGGTGATAGCAAATAACAGGTTCACTTTTAAGTCTCTTTAACAGGCGCATTTCACGATATAAACAGTTTCCATTTTTTAAAAGAATTACAAACAAGTAAACAAATCTTGGTTTACTCATCCAATTGGTTTGCTTGAATCGCCAGAGAATCTTCTGGCACCTTCACGTAGAGTTCTTTTTCTTATTTGTAGCACACAAATAAACGTAAATATGTTTTTTAAAAAAGAAATTCTAATCATGGGAATCTTTTCTTATCTACCTAGAGAACTAAAAACGCTGGAAAATCCCGTGGGGGTCTCCAGCAAGAAGGAGACACGGTATTCTTGGATGTACCGGTTCAAAAACAGCCGCACGTTTTAAACGAAAGGGAAGAAGTTTTAAGTATCGCTGTCACACCTTCCCGCCTACATCCCACCTCCCCTTCCATCGTTCACTGCCAGTTGTTGTCCTCGGGCCGTGATTGGCTGGCCGCTTTCGTTCATTCATCATTACGGAAGAAATCTTTCGGAGCAAGAATGGTTTAAGTGGGAGGGAGAGAAATGCATTGTGTACAGTTAACGAAAAAGAGGCGTTTTGAATAGCGCAGGTTTGTACCTGTTTTTTTTAAGCATAAGAATAATATTTTAAGGTAATATAAGAAAGTTTTTAAATTGTAGTCCGCGTACATCTTGAGGTCCAACAGTTTATGTTTAGGATTCAATGATTTTTCAAACTAAAATTTTACTTATTCAGTCACTCTATTACAGTAGTGGCGAACCTTTTTGGGGTCTCGTGCCCAAAATGGAATGGCACTCTTGCCACTTCGTTTAAGATATTAAATTAGAATTATTCATAAGTTACCTCAAATGCTTAAATCTGAAAACTGGAATCTATTTAACAATGAAAGTATTAAAACTCACCAGCGTTCAATAATTGAATGATTATCAAACATACCTGCTTCACTTGGCGATTTGTACCAGTACAAGTATAAAATTGGCCCAAACAACTAAAATGTCATAAATTGGGTCAATAAATATGTAGTATATCATTTCTATGGCGATATATGAAAATCTTATATCTAGGCTTAGGCCCTATGCCAGCGGCATTATGCGATAAGTAAGTGAAAAGTTCAAGAACAGTAAAACACTTTTTAAATTACATAGTATCACTTTTATTCTGATTATTGATTAAGAAAGTACTATTTTAGTCGCGTGCCGGCTGATGACACCCTGCGTGCAGACTGTGGCACGCGCGCCATAGGTTCGCCATCACTATTATAAACAATTTCATTATCAAGAAACTGCTGAAATCGACATTTTGGTTTCTTCAGACTCAAGTTGTGTTAGAATGCTTAATAGTCTAGGAACCATGAGTGGTATTTAAAATTTGCTGCATTCTTTAAATTTATTTTAAATAATTTCAACATTGAGAAATTCATGAAATCGATATATTGACGTCTTCAAAATAGTGTTAGTTTGCGGAATTATAATGCTTTGTCATATGGAAGATCACCTGTACTTTCTCAAGTCAAATTTTTATTAACTCAAGGGGACAGTAGCCCAGAAGAGGGTTTTCAAAACGGTATTTTGTAATGTTTCACTATAAACGACGAATAACTTTTTAAATTGTTGCCATCAAATAGCATCGCCCTGTATTATATTTAAATAAATTAAATAATGAAAAACCTGCATGAATGTATGCATGTTTCTCACATTTTGAAAAAACGATGGTACCTAGGGCCATCAAATTTTGAACAGCTAATCCTCTATCCAAACTGGCTACCTGGAGGCCCGAATTTTAAATTTCGAATTGTTTATTACGTATCAATTTTGTAAAATTTTAACGAATTTTATTAAAAACTCAACGAGCTAAGCGAGCAGGGAAACTGTCGGAAAAAAAAAAAAAAAAAAAAAAATTATCTCCATTGGAAATTCTAATGATATGCAGTTTTTAAATATTTTAATGTGTATTTCAAATTTTGGAAAATTTTAAGGAATTTTTGATTAACAAACTCAACGATTTCAAAGCGAGGAATAGCAACACTTCGCAAAAAACATTTTTAGCTCCAGCGAGCGAGACTCTATTTTAGCCCAAATGCTCTCGAAACGTGTATGTGCATGTAAATAAAGAAAATATCCCCTTGGGTATAATATAAAAATCTGGGAACTTTTTAATTTTTTTTATTTTTTTTATTTGTTATTTAGTTTTATGATAAAAAATATCATTATCAGTATGCTCCCGAAATCAAAATTTTAATCTCTTTGGAAGAGGCTCAGCTTGAATTGTAATGCTTAGTATTTGCGAATCGCAAGTGATTTTTTAAATTAAAATTTGTTTTGCTTTAAAATTTTTTATTATTTAAGCAATTTCATTACTAAAAAATAATGAAATCAAAACTGGGTCTACTTGTAATGTTGTATTACTTAGTATTCTGGGAATAGCATAGGAATTTTCACTGTAAACGTTAATTTGTAATTTATGAAATCAAAATTGCGAGCTCTACAGAATAGGACACAACGGTTTCAAGTAGAATAATATTCGCGATTTTTAGCTATGTGTGAGGTGGGGTGTATTTTATTATGGCAAAGCACACTAGGGCTGCCTGCCTAAGTAAAGGGATGCCTTCGTGGAGGACTTTCTAAGGAAAACTGGCTCTTATACACGTTAAACATGCAGAAAACCACGAAAACACCCATGCAGCCAGCCCGTTCGCGGAATTCGAACCTCGAACTACCAGTGTTCAGCGACTTTACCGCTCGGCCGCTGGTGAGCCCAGCTATGTGTGAGGAACATAGACACAGTGCTAATCTGATTATGGATCTGAATCTGATAAGTGCTTGAGGGTTATCTGCTTAAGGAGACGGATGCCTCGGTAAAGGAATTTTTAAGGGAAACTTCCCTCGTATATACGTTACACAGGGAAGATCACGAAAATGCCCATGCAGCCAACTCGTTTGCCTAGAATCGAGCCAAGGCGGAACTACCAGTGTTCAGCGATTTCACCGCTAGGCTCCTAGTGGGCCTAATAAATGAATAAATAAAATGAAAATATTAAAAAACATCTGGAAGCTTTCAGATTTATATTACGCCCTAGGGGCCGTTTTTTCAACGTTTTGTGTGTTAGCTTTATTTTTTAAATATCATGTTCTTCACACTTAAACCATGAAATTCACTTCAATAGAATTTCCTTTAGAATTTCCGATACACAGTCTCGTGCGCTGGAGATTCCCCCCCCCGTACAGTGTTGCCATTGCTCTCTTTGAAATCTTGAGTTTGTTACTCAAGCATTCGTTAAAGTTTTACAAAATATGAAATAGATAATAAAACAAATTCTAAATTTGGGCTTCCAGATGCTTACATTTGAGTGAGGAACTACGTTATTCAAAATTTGATGTCTCTAGGTACCGTTGTTTTTCACAGTGCGAGAAACATAAATACATTCATGCAGCTTCTACATTATTTAATTTCTTTAAATATAGTGCAGGCTGGCTGCATGGGTATTCTAATATTTAGTGACAACAATTTGAAAAGTGAAGCGCCGTTTTAAACGCAAAACTATATTAATAGCCCTTCTGGGCAAATTGGTCCTTTGAACTAAAAACAAATTTAGTAAAATATATTTGGGCAAAAGGATTGATTTTGCAATTGAAATCTACTACTCTGGATTTGAATACGGAAAAACGACTAGGAGTAAAGGCTTAATCGGAAATGGTTGGCGACAATTCGAAAACTTCCATTCTTTTTCTAGAAGAATGTAATTAAAAAAATTAATAAATTTTTGTCTTATTGATGAATCTTTGTCTTATTGTCTCCGTTTACATCTAGTTTGGTTTAATTTGAAAATTTTGTTTATTAGTTGAAATGACGTATCATTAGTCTGCGTTGTTACATCGCTTATTAATTAAATTATCATTAGTCTGCGTTGTTACATCGGTTCACTGTTTTAAGTTGTTACATCGGTTCACTGTTTTTATTCTCTCATAACTATGAGATCCTAATTATGTTTGAATTATGAGCTATGTTATGAGTCTTTACCGTAAATTATGGTAACTAGTTGTCTTCAAAACAATTGTTGCAGTAGTATTACAGTTTCGAAAACTAATTCTTCGCCTTTTTACTTCCTTTTATGAAGGAAAGGAAGTATAGAGACTATTCGCACATTTTTTAGACTGCTTTGCTTTGCTATAAAAATCATTCACCTCCTTGGAAAAATTTTGTTTATCCGCACCTATATTTTTGAAAGGGCAAATTACCGTCTGCTACTTGATAATTTTGTTTTCAAGCGAAATAGCGTTTTCAACGGCCGGAAGGCTATGTTTGTGCTCTTTCCGAAGAAAAGGAAAATTATTCCTATTTAGTTATTAAAAAATTTGTGAAAGGAATGTTTTTTCTGTATCTAAAGCAACAATATATAGTATTTTCAATAAGAAAGAAAAAAAGCCAAAGTTTGGCTTCAAGGAGAAAAACTGTTCAAAGTACACATCCACGGAAAGAACGGAATGTATCTAATGTTGTAAAGGTAAGAAATTTAATGTTAAAGGAAAATTTGGGAAGTCAAAGAACAGTTGAATAATCATTAAAATATTAAGTCAGTAAACAAAATAAAATGATTAATGCTGATTTGAATTTTAAAAAGGCGAATAAACGTAATGTGCATCGTCTTTCTCCACGACATATCGCCGAAAGCAGAACGCGCCGCAGAATTCTCGATGAGAAATAATTATTTGGATAAAAATGGAAAAATGTTGTCACAATAGATGAATCTTGGATACATTTAAATGACCGCAATAAAAGAAATCCATTTATTACGAGAAGAAAAAAAATCTTAGAATATACTAGTTCAAAG